ATGTATATGTAGTGTGTGTTTTATGGCAAGTAAAAACTTCCCGTTGAATTGTTTTGAGACGTGTTGTTCTGGTAGACTTTATTTTTGCACACTCTGTTTACTCAAACAAGAAATATTTACATTGGTTTCAATGACTGTCCAGTGCAAATGTGGGAGACTTATACACTCCGCCCCACTTTATCAACAACCACAACAACAAATTGACGAAAATATATATGAAACTCAACAAAAAATTGACGCCAAAGGTATTAGTAATAATACACATGACATACAAGAGGGTGGTGGGTACTGCCCTCCTTCTGTTCCCTTACAAGAACAGAAAAATTACCCATCCCTTCCCATAGCTGAAAACAAATTTGAATTTAACAACTTTGTGTTTTTAGACAGTCAGCCTTATCAAGTTGACACCACGGAGAGTGATCAACATGTAAACAACGAAAACGATGTTTTAGAAAAAGCAACAGAAACAAAGAAAACGTTACAAACAAATGAAAAGAAAGCAAAGAGCGAAAAAGTTAAAAAACTCGAAGCAGAAAAGCTTAAAAATGAACAGAAAAAAGCCCAATTATTAAAAGAAAAGAAAGAACTTTTAGATGCCAAAGAGTTGCTCAAAGAAAGTGACGACTTTGAAAAAGCGACGTTTGAAAGTCAAATTGACGAGAATGTATTACACATATTTAAGAAGTACAAAGTGAAAATCTCTCCAATACTTCCTGTTGCTTTAGTCAACCAAATTGACGTGAATTTGGTCACAAACGAGAAGATGGCAAATTTAGTGATGGACAGCCTTGTCTCCAATTTTGTTTCACAACTTTAACCTTTTTGGGTTGAAGTGCACTTTACGTATTGTGTGGTTAAGTAATTTATTCTAAGTTGAAACATGATTGCGTTTAAAGATAATATAATATCAACGTACAAACACCAATGAATAACATACAACTACTTATAACAACTTGTTGAAGGATGGAGAATACCCAAATGACCCGACTCGTAGTGCAAATTCCTTTGGGTTCTTCTGTCTTTGATTTGTAAAAGATCCATACGTAGCAATTTGCACGTGTATTTGGCCCTTTGAGAAA